TCAACGATGTTCATAGCAGCACTATTTGTAATAGCCAGAAAATGGAAGGAGCCTAGATGCCCCTCAACCAAAGAATGGATAGAGAAAATGTGGTATATTTACACAACGGAGTACTACTCAGCAGAAGAAAACAATGGAATCTTGAAATTTGCAGAAAATGGATGGATCTAGACGAAACCATTCTGAGCAAGGTAACTCAATCGCAAAAAGACAAACATGGTATGTACTCACTCATATGTGGATTTTAGACATAGAGTATGGTATTACCAGCCTACAATCCACACTGCCAGAGAAGCAAGTAAACAAGGAGGTCCCTAAGAAAGACATACATGGTCCCCTGGAGAAGGGGAGAGGTTCAAGATCTGCTGAGCAAATTGGGAGCATGGGAAGAGGGGGGAGGGAGCTAGGAGAATGAGAAGGAGAGAAGAGATATGCAGAGGACATGAGGGAGCAGAAAGTATGAGTCAGGGGAAGAATACACGATAACAAGAATGGAGATATCATAATAGAGGGAGACATTTTTGGTTTACAGAGAAATCAGGCACTAGGGAAATGTCTGGAGATCTACAAAGTTGACACTAGCTAACTATCTCAGCAATGGAGGAAAGGCTACCTTAAATGATCTCCCCTGATTATGAGATTGATGACTGACTTATATGCCTTCATCCAGCAGCTGGTGGAAGTAGAAGCAGACACCCATAACTAATCACTGATCTGAACTGGAACCCAGATACAGAGAAGGACCAGTGAAGAGCACAGAGGTCGAGACCAGGCTGGTGAAACCCACAGAAACAGCTGACCTGAACATCCAAGAACTCTTGCTCCCCAGTGTGATAGCTGGAATACCAGCATGGGACTGATCCAGACCCCAAGAACATGGGTTTCAGTGAGGAAACCTCAGAAATCTATGGGACCTTCTGTAGAAGCCCAGTATTTATCCCTAGCATAGGTGTGGACTTTGGGAGCCTATTCCATATAGAGGAATACTCCCTGAGCCAAGACACATGGGGGTGGGCCTAGGCCCTATCCCAAAGGATACAAAAGACTCTGATGACACCCTATGGAAGGCCTCACCATCCAGGGGGAGCAGAAAAGATATGTGACAGCTATGGTTTTAGTTGGGGGGGGCAGGGGAGGATGGGTGGGAGAAGGGAACTGAGATTGTCATGTAAAACAATCCTGTTCCTAATTCAAATAAAAAAAGTTGAAAAAAAATAGAATAAGATGTCCTAATGGGAGAGACTGACCCTTCAGTGCCCCCAAGGCTACATTTTAAAGCAGTAGTTGCTGCACACTACAAAGTAAATCACATTTCCTTTCTTTTCTTTCTGAGCAATTATGTGAGGACAGGATGCATTAAATAGCATATCTCAAAGGGATGCAGGCACAAATACGTACCTCAAATCCTGTCCAACCAAGATTCCAACACCACTATCTCCCTTTCATCCCCACTCAGCCCTGGCATCATTTATGAGATAGGGACAGCTGCCTACCACTATACTGATTTCTAACTGTAGGAAATGAACCATTTAAGCAGTTCAGAGGCTGTGTTACACAGGTCTGCTTCTGAGTGAACGTGACTCTCCTTCCTTCACAGGCTTTTGATAGGCTTAAGAAAGGCTCAACTCGACGGGCAATGGTGGCACACGCCTTTAATCCCAGCACTCGGGAGGCAGAGGCAGGCGGATCTCTGTGAGTTCGAGGCCAGCCTGGTCTCCAGAGCGAGTGCCAGGATAGGCTCCAAAGCTACACAGAGAAACCCTGTCTCGAAAAACAAACAAACAAACAAAAACAAAAAACAAAAAAACCTGACTTTCCAACAAGTTAATGAATTTAAAACTCCAAAGGCTAACATTAATAGTTCTGATAGACTTTACATTAAGAAGACAGAATTACAGAATTGATTATATATATGAATATAAATGTCTGCATATATATGCATATATATATATATATGTACGTATATATGAGTAAAAACCAAATAAGACCAAAGGACACAGAATCAAATATTAATGAGTTTTGTAAATCATTAACTTAATTATATAATGAAAAGGAAATTTTATGGACTAAAATCTCCAATTATAAGACAATTACACAAAATTCACAACCTCAGGACCCAATCTAGGCCATCATCAGTTCTCAACAACTAAGTCTGAGGCTTCTGATAGTGTGATACCAAGGCACATCAAACAATGGGAATTTACATTTGTGTCTTGGATCACACATTTGACAGGAAAATCACATTAAATACTGACATGGCAGCTCAAACACTAAGTACTGACCAGACTACAGGGCAGTTTGGAAGAGATATTCTACTTTGAAGTTGTTGTCCTTTAATGGTTATGTTTAAACAAGAGACTTAGCACACACCTTTCTGCTCAGATATATTAAAATGCCACCGGTAGCAAGGCACGGTGCTTTCCCCAAAGTAAGCCTTTTAAACGGGGTTGCTGAAGGTAAAAGTTTTGGAGGAGTTTCCCTTCTTTATCTTTATTCATTTCTTATAGTTTCCAAATTCTGGGTCAAACAAAGGTGTATTTGATTTATTCTTGTCTTACTTTTCTATCTCTATGGCAAAACACCATGACCAAGATACTTATAAAAGAAATGGTTTATTTGGGAATAATAGTTTCGAAATTGCATGAGTGTTTTGAACTTCAGAGCCTGTCCCCAGTGACACATCTCCTCCACAAGACCATATCTCCTAATCCTTCCCCAAAAGTTCCAACAACTGGGGGCCAAGTATTCAAATATATGAGGGATGGGGCCATTTTTTGTAAATCACCACAATTCTTCAGACTAAAACTTCAGGGTTAACAGGGACTTATTCTTGCATTCTGCCTTCCCAAGCAGGCTCTGTGGAAGCAAATGCTGAAGGTTTGTTTAAAAGTGAGGTAGAATTTAGAAACAACATTGTTTGGACTTTCTGTTTCTCTGAATATATATTAACATATCAAATTTTACATACAGGCACTAAAATATTCACTTTAGAAAACTATATAGTTCATCAAGTAATTGGCATTTTCTCAAGTATTTCTAGTAAATGGTGAGTACTGCCACTGATTTGGAAATAATCCTGTTGTTAAATTTCTATCAAAATAGTAGCCCTATAAATGCAACTTGCAACTTTTTGATCTAAAATCCTTTTTTGAACACACCTTAAGATAAAAAGTCTTTTTAATGTTTTTCAGACATTAAAAACTAAGTAGCTAAGTAACCCTGGCCTGCTTCAGACTTAGTATGTAACCCACACCAGTGTGATGCCTCCTGCACGTTAGCCTCCTTGACTGCTGTAAGTACACCTGGCAAGGTAAGGTTTTTTGGTTTGTTTGTTTGTTTGTTTAAGGCAGGATTTCTCTGTATAGCTTTGGAGGTTGTCCTAAAACTCACTCTGTAGATCAGGCTGACCTCAAATTCACAGGGATCCGACTACCTCTGGGATTAAAGGCATGCACCACCAACGCCCGGCTCAAGGTAAGGTTTTCAATGAGACATTGTCTTTATGCAGCTGTGGCAGAAACAGAAGACAGGACTCTGATGTGTACCATTCCTATTATCAAAGACATTAACAAAAATCCTTAATCTCAAACTTTTATTTATTTATTTATTTATTTTTTCTGAGCAAACTGGAAATATATTACCTCATTCTTGGCCATATCGTCTATATGTGTGATTCTGGACACCCAACCCCAACCCCAGTTCTATGTGTAGAACTGAATTTCTCTAAAGTCCTAATACAAGCCCATTCCATTTAATGTAATTATTTGACTTACTTCTCACATTTGCGTCAATGTTAGACAATTTAACACATACATAGTAAATTCTTTAATTGCATATAAATGATCTATGAACAATTTTACCTATAAAAAGTCTTGATAAATACCACAGACCATAAAAAGCATCAATTCAAATCAACTCTCCAAGTGGCTTGACATCATTGTAATTATAACACCGTCAAATGTGTAGGTCCCAGTCCTTTACACTTTAGCTTAGTTTAGTGTTGGTCATGGCCATCTGGTCCATTCTATATCAGATGGGGAAAGTCACAAAACTTCAGGTAAACATCCACTCTGATTCTACCTATGTTTTCCCAAGGATCATTACAAGGACTTAAAGTTGCTTTTGAAGCTTCTTCAAGTGAGACTATTAAACTGTCTTTTATAATTATTAATTTTTTAAAACTAATGTCACTGAAATTACATAATTCATTTCAAACTCAAGTGACTTTTCTAGAAACAAGACAGAGATATAGTTTTAATAGAGTCAAATTATTCATCAACACAATTCACTTCCAAGCTTATCAAATATATTGGAGTAGGCTATCTTTTTTAATTGCATTTTTCTACTTTCAAACACGCCTCTTACCTGCACAAGTGGAATCTGCTCAGTGGGCACATTTTTCACTGGGACATAGCAGGTGTAACAGTAGAACATCCTTGAGCCACCGCATTGGAGACACCGTGACCTCCCACTCCGTTGAGCCTTGAGAAGCACTTCCTGAGATGCTAAGCATAAGTTCTGAAGAGGGTCTTCTGAAGCTATGGAAACAGTTTGTGACTGTTTTCTTTCCATACAATCTGCATTCTTTTTTTCACTTTCTTGAGAAAATACAGATAGACTGAGAGCCATTCTTTCTTTGAACCAAAATGTTCTGTTTCTAAAACATGTGTCATAGGTGCACTGTAAAAATTAAAATGATGAGGAATGAAAAGTGTACTATTGTTACAAATAACACTGTCAAATATAATTCATACTGTTAGGGGTAGTATTTACCAACAGACATTACTAAGTTAAAACCCACTGAATTGATATGCTGGTGGTAGTGTAAACTCATACAGCCACTTTGGAAATCAATATAGTGGTTTCTCAGGAAAATGGAAATCAATCTACCTCAAGATCCAGCAATTCCACTCTTAGGCATATACCCAAAAGGAGCACATTCATACAACAAGGACATCTGTTCAATTATGTTCATAGCAGCACTATTTGTAATAGCAGAACCTGGTAGCAACCTAGATGCCCCTCAACCAAAGAATGGATAAAGAAAATGTGGTACATTTACAAAATGGAATACTATTTAGCCAGGGGGGGGCACAAACAAACAAAACCCCCAAAAAACAATATCTTGAAATTCAAAGGCAAATGGATGGAACTAGAAGAAACCAGCTTGAGTGAAGCAACCCAGTCACAGAAGGACAAGCATGGTATGTACTCACTCATATATGGATTTCAGACATAGAGCAAAAGATTGCCACCCTACAATCCACAGAAGCTAGGAGACAAGGAAGACCCTAAGAGAGACATACAGGGTCCCCTGGAGAAGAGGAATGGGACAAGAGCTCCTGAGCAAATTGGGAGCATGGGGGTGGGGATAGAAGAAAGAGAAGGGGAGAAGAAGAGTGGGGAGGAGAACATGAGGGATCAGGAAGATTGAGTTGAGGGAAGAATAGAGGAGAGCAAGGAAAGAGATACCATAATAGAGGGAGCCATTATAGGTCTAAAGAGAAATCTGGCACTAGGGAAATGTCAAGGGATTCATAAGGATGACCCCCAACTGAGAATCTAAGCAATAGTGGAGAGGCTACCTTAAATGCCTTTCCCCTATAATGAGATTGATGACTACCTTAAATGCCATCATAGAGCCTTCATCCAGTGGCTGTTGGAAGCAGAGACCCACAGCTAAGCACTGAGCCAAACTCCTGGAATCCAGTTGTAGAAAGGGAGGAGTGATGAGCAAAGGGGTTAAGACCATGCTGGCGAAACCCACAGAAACAGCTGACCTGAGCAAGTGGGAGCTCACAGACCCCAGTCTGACAGCTGGGGAACGAGCATAAGACTGAACCAGGCCCCCTAAATGTGGGTGTCAGTTAGGAGGCCTGGGCAGTCTACAGGGCCTCTGGTAGTGGAACCAGTATTTATCCCTAGTGTATGAATGGACTTTGGGAGCTCATTCTCCATGGAGGGATACTCTCTCAGCCTAAATACACAGGAGGGCCTCACCCTCCCTGGGGAGTGGATGGGGGTGGGATAGGGGGGTTGCTGGAAGGCATGGGAGGATGGGAGGGAGAGGGAACTGGGATTGATATGTAAAGTACGATTGTTTCTAATTTAAATAAAAATTTATATATAAAAAATGAAAATACAAAATTAAAAGACAACTCAAAAGAGCAATTTCAGTTACTCTTATCGACTATTCCTCCAAAAGAAAATGGAAATGTGCTACATTAAAAAAAAAAAAAAAACGCTTCAAATACAAAATTTAAGACACTGATGATCCATTTTGATAGTATCTATTTTCTCTCAAATATGACAATTTTGATTTAAAAATATTGAGAATATAATGAAATTCTGTCCCTATCATACAGAAATTGCATTCAAGTATGTAGACTCTAGCTTTGAATTGGCATCCCATGACAGAATTCCCATGGTGAACTCTAATGAAAATAAAAAGCTTCAGTGGCGTGAGGAAATTCAGTTGGCTATTAGGAATTCTCTCTCTCTCTCTCTCTCTCTCTCTCTCTCTCTCTCTCTC